ATATTTTTTACATATAAGTGATTATAATAATAAATCCCTTGGTATAAGCACACCTTCATATAGTCACACCATTTCATAGTCCCGAGGGGTGTGATTATAGAGGGGATCGACTGTATCATATTTTCATACAATTGCTAACTTTGCGATCCAATCAGAAAATACTATTCCTGAGCTAATTAAATTTATGGCTGAAGTTGGTTCTATTTTATCAGTCTTAATTGATGCATCTGTGAGCGAGCTTAAAGTACCAGATACAATTGATATACTGGCTATATAATAAAATAACCTTTTATTAAATTCTAAGTTCCAAACTAAATCTAATATAATGTTAAAATACTGTATTAAATTTATAGTTGCATATAATATTATATTATAATTTTCATTCTTAAGGTTTGCATTAGCAACTAATAAACCAATGGCGACATCAGTGATGGCTATGTTGTCCATTAGTTTGATTTTGATGATAGTATTCTATTAAAAAAATGGAAGATAATCGAGAATTTGATGAAGCTATAGGTTATTTAAGTGAATAAATTTCTTAAATAAATATAAACAAAATAAAATAATAAACAAACAAAACATACCTCTAATTTACGATATATCCTAGTTTTTTCTTGAACTGCATCTTAAGCTATATCTTGAACTGAAGTTAGGTATTCTAATTTGTCTTCATTATTAAGCTTGTTGTAAACTAAATGTGACAATGTGAATAATTTATCATGAATTCTCTGCAAATCATCTGATAAACTAGAGGTATTATAGAAGATGTATTCTCTATTTATGTAGATGTATCAGAAGTTGCGTCCTTTTCTTGTGTAGTTGGATTTTCAATTGATACCGGTATAATTGTATTATCAGGTATAGCAGAAACTTTACCTGCTTTGTTCTCTTTAACTGAAATGACAGAATATTATTAGTAGGCTTTACTAAATTTAAAAACTTATATATTCACCAGAACTTACTCATGTTGAAATTAAAACAATGAGAAAAAAGTATTCTACCAATCGCATGTATATTTTATATTCGCAACATTAAATAATTCACATTCTGTAAAAAAAATAATATTAACCATTGTCAATTAGCAAGGCTAATATATTAGAGCTTGATTTATTAAAGATTTAAAATGCATAATAATATTCGTCTCACTCATTAAGATCCCAGCCTTCCTTAAGATCAGCCAGTATTTTCAAAAGTGAATTGATCCAAATTTAGTGGATTTGGAAAATATATCAAATTGTTCATTATTTATTGTCTTAGAAATATTCGGAAAGCACCTGTGAATTCCTTGAAAATAATATTACGATGACAAGCAAATTGGACTTGAAGAAGTTTATCTCATGCTTCTCTTCAAAAATGGGCTATATAATCATGTCCAGTATATAGTATACTAGGATTAGTGCTCTGAAAATCAAGCCAAAAAGCAGAATGATTCCTTATATTTCAAAACTAGTACTACTTCCTGTCCCTCTCGACTGATTTGATAAGGAAACATTTTATAGTGTTGAGATTCAGCTCACATCCTACCAATCATCTTTATTATTACCATCATCATTACCTATCTTAACCTCAGCATTTTCTTTTATTAGTCCTAGTTCTCCATCCAACACTAAGATTCCATAGCTATAGAAATATTTACTAAGATATACTTATCTTTAATTTATATTCTAAACCTTATCACCTTTAAGCATCTTTGGTTTGACAGTCATGTGCTACATATCTTACTATATAAAATGCAGCAGAAAATGTGCACTCTAGTCATAACATCAAGTAAGGATAACAGAAATTCAACTTCTTTCTAGAAAAAAAAATTATATTTCTGATTTTCCTGTAAGCATGTTCAATATTATCAGTCACCAGACATGTCATACGTTAAGTGGGTCAAATGGATTTACTAATTAAATATGCATCTTGTCAATCACAATTTTTACTATGATTAATTAGTAAAATCTTAAATTTCAGTTTTTTCGTCATATGTAAACTTTATTTTCATCTAATAATATATATTAAAAAATTTTTTTTTTTCTCACTCTTCGAGTTAAGACCAATGTATCAATATAATTTTTTTTTGTAGTTTATTAATAAAAAGTTAAAAGGATTTCTTCATAAAGTTGGTCTTTTTTTATTATTGTAACTTTACGAATCTCAAAAATGGAAAACTTAGCTAGCAATATAAGCAAACTTAACCTTAAAAATTATAATATTAATGACCATAATATTGTAGAGGAAGAATATGGCTCTGACTTTAACGATGTTAATGAGGATTTAGGTGATTTAATAAATGAGATAGACATGTTTGAATATAGTAATACTGGTTTAGACTGTGAAGAAAATTCAAATAATCCCCATTTTTTTCAACTAAATATAAATGCACTTCGATCTGCTCGTAATTTTTCAACTATTTTGAATGAAACTGATAATATAGATGATTATATATTAGATTTAGATAGCAATTTTGATGATGAATCTGTAATTTCTATGATAACAGATATTACCAATGAAATGTAACCAAATAAAATTCCTAAACCAACAAAGACAACCAAATTTACCTCTTGTGTTTTAATTGATAATATTAATGGTGAAATTCGTTCTAGTGAAAGTTCAAAAAATTTACATTGTATAAAAATATTTTTGGGACCTGGAAAATTGACAACGAAATAGTTTATAATTTAGATGGTGATTTGGCTTCTTTGGGAGTTTGCTATTTACATCAAATGTATGATCAAACTAAATTGCATATAAAAAATGCAAAAGGAACTAAGGATTCATTTTAGGGTTTTATTAATAGTAGAAGATGTCTTTTTTGTAATATTAATAAAAGTTTTTATACTCATGAAGAGCAATGTAATCAATATTCTTGGATGTTAGTGGGTCGCAATTTACAAGTTTCTTGTAATGGTCAATATCATTGTACTTCTTTAACAAATATTCATCCAATTTTATATCCTGGTTTATCTAATAAAAAATCACGATATATGTACTTCCTGTTATGAAAAACACGATGGGAATTTCATCAAAGATCTGGAATAAAAGGAAAAGTCAGTGTAAATTGTCAAGAAGATTTTTCCCATAAAGATGATATTATAGAATCTTTTCGTTTAATAGGTAATTGGTTTCTTTATGTTGCTAAATATGAATCACCTAATTTTCAAGCAGAATTATCTCATGAAGCAATTATTACCTTCACAAAAATTTAATAATACATCACAAACATTTACATCTACTTCCGTAGAATTCAAACCTTTTGATATACTAATCCTTTTATTATTAAAGCTGCTTTTAAATTAAATAAATTAGATTTTTTTTGATTATGAATATAAAAAGATTAATGAAAAAAAAAGTTTGAATTTGGTGAAGAAATGGCAAGAACAATTTTAAAAAATAGAAAAAATGTTAATGAAAATAAAAAATTATTTGA